CCGCTTCTCTCCCTGCTCGGTCTCTCCCCCTCTGTCCTTCTCCCTCCTACTTCGTCACTCCATGGTACGGGCTCTGCGGCTATGGCCGCTGTCTTTCTTCTTCGTGGACTGCGCAGCAACTTCACAGGTACGTAACAGCCAATCTTGTATCGCTCATCTTTCTCTCTCTCTCTGTAGCGGTATCTTCAGCGCAGCAGGTACGTGTAACCCAATCTTGTATCGCTCAACCTCTCTCTCTCTCTCTCTCTCTCTCTCTCTCTCTCTCTCTCTCTCTCTCTCTCTCTCTCTCTCTCGGTCTTCTTCTTTGTCGTGACTCTCTTGCAGGTGCGCGGCGGCGTCTTCAGCCTCAGGTCCGCTATGGCGGACTATCTCCTTCGGCTGCCACCTCGGCTATGGCGCATCAGGCCCTGCATACGACGGCGCGCATGGAGTAGCGGGTACCAGCTCCGATACCAATGCAATCAGACTCGTTTTCAAACACACTTTTCATGTATGTAAACAGCACGCAGCATACTGGCGACATGCGCCCACTCAAAACTCAGAGATATGGCTTTCAGATACGAGTGCACTCTCAATTGGCTATGGCGACTTCAGCGCCCAAACATCTCACTGTCACATACACTGGATCACCCTGGATACCCCACACCATCACTACAACACTCGAACACATACACACACTCACTACTAACTATGGCTATGGCAGCTATCGCTGCATCTAACCTATCACTATGCTAACTCCCTCTCTCTTGCCCACTGCGTCCTCCGGGCTCATCTGCAGACCTCCTTGCACAAGTCGCTGTGGCAAGTCGCTGTGGCAGCGCTTCCGCATGGCTCCCGCAGGGATGAATGAATGGCTGGGCGCTGCCTCTTGATTTATACTTCAGAAACTCGTTGGTCTGCCCTTTGCCATCGGCCCTTGGTGCTCACAGTCCCCCTGTGGTATTTGCTGGACCGGACTGGGACTGCCTGGACCTTCCGCTGACTGACTGTGGACTCACCGCTGTCCTCCTGACGTTGTACTGCTGTTGCACTGCGGTTTAGTCCACCACTTGCCTCGCTACTTGACCACTTGCCCACTTGCCTACCTTCTAGAAGGTCTACAGCTAAGCTTCCGGAACTCACTAAGACTTCTACGCTATAGACCTACAGATCGAATCCCTGCTGCCTATGGACCTACGACAGGCCTACCAACTGTCTGCGAATACACAGGTCAAAGGTTCAATTCTCGGGATCTATGCAGATACTGTACATAGGTAGGGAGAGGTCTAGGGATCGAACCCTGGGTACTGCATCTGCTGCTGCTAAAAGGTGAAAACCGTTTCATAATGGTCATTATTACAATTATTGTTTATTGATTATTATTAAGAAATATTAATTCATTATTGATCATTAATTAAATTTTACTGATTAATTAATTCGTTATTATTTCTTATTTCGAATTTTGAGTTGTTTTTCGGGGAAAGTTGATCTTTTTCTGTTTGATTAGGTGTCTAAGTCCATCAGTGGGACAGGGACTGTATGTATACTGCTTGATCTGTTCTATCCCTGTGCCCACCCTCTCCCTCTCACTGTTCTGCGCCCACTCGGACAAGCCAGCCTTCAGCAACAGTTCACTGCTGCCAGCAGGCCAAGCCACCGAACAGCAGCCACAACGCAGCAGGAGGATCGCAGATCGCCAACAGCAACAGCAACCTGCAGTATGACAGCAGCCACAGACCAGCACTCAGATGGCGAACACGCCGAACAGCGGGACGTCATCTGAGATGTCGACATCTTGCAATGCCGACCCTTTGCCGGTCTGTCCGGCTCAAGGGCAGAATGAGTCCGTTGCGGACTACATTCTGCGAGTGCAGACCTATACGGCCGCACTAACCCTTGCCAAGGAACGGCAAGATGCTGCCGAAGCAGACAAGCAAAGGCTAGGAGCCGAAGCTGCAGCCCGCGCCCAGCAACAAGCTGAGGCGGCGCAGTTGGCGACTGACCAGCTCAACGCCGACAGTGCCGAGCTTCTGATCTCTCAACAAGATCAGTGGACGGCGGTGCTCAACGGGATGCGTTATGTACCCGTAGCAGGCGCCGAGCCAACGCCAGTACAACAGGAGAGACAAAACCTGGCAGACATTCTACTCAACACAATGCGTGCCGTCATCTGGAACAGCACCATGGGGGAACTTCATTCCCGATCTACACAGCAGCTACAGAACAATCTCAACCGTAATGTGAAGACGCTGGCAGCAGCCGTTAAGGTCGCGGACTCCCAGCTGAAACAGATGGACGCCCGCATTGCTACTCTGGAGGCAAGGCCTTCCCAAGCAGCGCCAGGCTGCACGACAGACACGACGAAGCAGCTCAACGGGCGCATCGATCATGTCGTCAATCTCATCGGCGACCTAGGTGCTTTCACTGGTCCGGACACGATCAGTAGCACGGTGGCCGCCATCAAGACGGACATCACCAAGCTGCAGACAAGACCGGACGCCGCTACCAAGAATTACAAGATGCCGCAGTTCACCATCAGCAAGTTCGACGACTACAACAAGACAGACGCTTTGACATGGTGGCAAGGTTTCCTCACGGAAGCATCCTGCCGCACTGTCCCGGCTAAAGACATGTTGAAGGCGCTCTACCTACAACTGATTGGAGGAGTGCAGGCATGGATGAATCACCTGGCGGCTACCAAGCAATGCACCATCGCCGAACTCCACACGCACATTACGTGGAAGGAGTTCGAGCAACTATGGTTCACCCGATTCATGGTCCGCAACGTCGTGAAGGCGGCCATGAACGAGGTCTACACTTGCTCACAGGGAAGTATGCCAACTCGAGACTGGACGATTAAGTGGCAGAAGATAGTGACCACGCCAAGTTTCGATTTGAGCTACCAACGATCCGAGTTCTTCTCGCGATCGTGCGCAGGATGGCGGTCGGCACTCGGCAACGAGTACGACTACACCTCGTTCCAGGCTATCCTGGATCGCGCAAACCTGGTCATCCAAACGGACGACAACGCCGCTAACGAGAAGCAGTCCCAGCCGCACTATGTGGCTAAGCAGGGCTATCAACGACCGGCACATAACAATGCCGTGATTTTTGACGAAACAGACGATCTCCACGCTGCAGCAGCATCCTCGAGTGATGGAGGAACTGTCGCAGCGCTCCCGCCGAAGCGTCCCAAGAGAGTTCGGAAGAACAAGGCGACAGACGCGACGACATCGACAGGAACTGGGCAGCAGCCATGGACGGCATACAAGATAACCAAGGAAATCTATGACCTTTGTCAACGGTACGGATATTGCCTTTGGTGCAATGGGGTCACTCACTTGACCGCACAATGCCCCGAAAAGGGCAAGGCACGCGTACCCCGTCCAGCTAACTCGGGAAACTGAGTTACATAAGGAGAGGGGCGACGTCTCTCCTCATTCCGCCGGACCCGGTTGCCTTGCTAGCAATCGATATCACTACCGGGGAGCATGCGTTAGTCGCTGATTCTCGTGCTACGTACGAGGATTATGCCGCCCAGCTGGTACCACCACTAGACCAGCCGAGCCACGTGCACTTAGATTGCGTATGCGCAACCTGTACACCATTGGCAAGTGATCCGGTCAGCTCGCCACTGACTTCCGAGGACTCGACGGCGTGGTCAAGACTTGAGGAGCTTGACTCGCTCACGAGAGAGGACTTCGCTTGGATGCCTCTACCCTCGACCGGAACCTTGCCAAGGCCGCATTGCAATGCCTTGATGGCAAATCTACGCTCCTATTTGCACACTACAGTACCAGCTCCGTTGACGGGCGACGGGGTAGCGGTTGTCGATCTCCGCTCCTATCTTGCGAAGATTGACCGCGAGTACGCCACCCAAAGGTACTCCGAAACCGACGCGCCTTTGCTCTACATCCGCATTCAAATCGGAAAGGCAACCTGTAGTGCCTTGATTGATTGCGGAGCATCTCGCAACTTTATGAGCCAAGCCTTTATGGCCCGCGCAGGYCTTGGCCCGCGCGTTCGAAGGAAGACGCGACCCACGCAAGTTACACTCGCGGACGACCGCACGCAAAAGTC